GCCCACCCCGACCACCTCTATAGAAAGGTCTTACCTATTCAAAAACCAAGCTATCTATATACCTTTAAGCCCACGGTTTCATTCCAATGCTTTGATTAGTTACGAAGACGTGAACCTTTACCTTGCATGCCTGTCTACATCGGATAAACTAGAGTACTGATTTCCAGAAGGGAATGACTTATTACCGGGTTAGAAAAGTGAGTCTTCCTTTCATTGCTTGCTTGGTGCACACTTCCTTTTCCTCATAGTGACTTTTCCTGAGAACCCCAAGCCTGAATACCTGAATAGAAGGCAAGGCCAAGTAGCTCCCATTCCAAAAAACCTTCTCTTAAAGTCAGTGTCTTGGTTGCAGCTCTTAAAGTAAGAACAGGATTCCGGGTTGCTCTATCGGTAAAGAAATTCTATTACCGGACGGAGAAAAGAGAACTAACTAACCTTAACCCTTAGATCTCTGGTCGGCTATCGGTAAAGGAACCTTCTGGCCGGTTAGGTTAAGCAAAGAACGCAGGTAACCTTACCGGGGTTTATTCGTGAAAGTCAGCTCTGACCGGGCTCTGGAGATGAATACCGATAGAGCTTACCGGATGCACCATCGACCTCAGACAGCTCGCCCGTGCGGGGGAAGAACTAAAAAGAAAAAAAACGTAGTGAGTGAGTAAAAAGCAAATACCAATGAAGACCAGACCTGGAATTTCAAACACGAAAACGTAGTAGCCTAGCCGGGGAGGGATCTTCTCCAGCTCCACTCCTTGTTATATATATAGTTATAGAGTGGAAAACTACGCTTAAAATTCAAGCCATGAAAGTGAATTTTTGGATTATAAAACATGGCCTCGGAGACCTTTCCTAGGTGGATCGAAGAGCTGCTAACAAAAGGGCGAAGTCGGGATGGATTCACACATAAAATAGACGTGGACGGATGGAAAGCCCGGAGACCAGAGACCGGAAGAAAATATCCATTTTTTGGAAAAGACAGAGATGAAGATTGAGCCAATGTTTTAAAAAATACCATAAGCAGATTAAACTTCTATTTATTATAGATTCTATATTTTGCACCTTCAAAAGAGATCTCGAAGGGTATATTGAATTACCAGAAATCGATTCATGTGTACTTCTTGCTGCTTCAGGGAAAGAAAGATAGAGGAACTAATTCAAGACAGTCATTTTGGACGGGAAGAGTATGACATATTCCAGGGGCAGATGCCACTTCCACTTGAATTAAGGAATGAGCGTGGTGCGGGGTATATTACATACAATAATAATAATTCTTGTTTCGCTACAGCCGTACCTCCGTACTCTGATTTGACAGCTCGAAAGGGAATAGATGTTCCATCAAATGGATGAGTGTACCGTAGTGGAGATATTGATTTGGTAAACGGAGGACCCCAAGCAAGAGAGCTCAGACCGGCATCTATTTTATAAAAGAAGAACTGGATTGACCAGACAGCTCAACCGTTGACCAGCCAACCGGCAAATACATTTCATTTATACATAAGGATCCAGCTGGTGTGCCACACCTCCAACTCCAACTACTACAGGAAAGATTCCACCCCCTCTCATGAATCAATTTGATGGATCGTACCTTCCTCTTTTGGAAGTTGGAAGTCCCGCCAACCGGTGGCTCTGGTTTACCATTATTATTATTTACCGTTATTTCCTCCTCTACCTCTATAATTGGATTAGTGGTTAACTACTACTTTACCCTAAAATTAGTATGTTGTTGTTAATATTCCTTAATTCTTATTATGTTGGTACTTTTTCCAATGCTATTGAGAATTCTGCTTATTCATATGCATGTGTTATCCCTAAATCCCCATCAAAGTCCAAATCCTCAAAAACTACCCAACGTTTTCCTTATGTCGCAGCAACCAGCTAGCTAGAACTAGAAGAAGAAGGCGAGCTAGCAGATGAACTAAGCAGCATACTTTATATGTTGAATAGAAGGAATGAAACCGACGTACCGTATTGACCGGCGGGTATATATATATTAATGAAAGAACTAAACCACCGCCCGCAGCTGCTCCTCCAACGCCAACGGCTACTGATTGTGTCAGCCATTCCTTTCTTCTTGCTATTGATATAGTGGAATTAATTCCAGTCATTCCCTTAAATCCGTTTTTTTCAGTTAAAGTCTATCTCTAAACGGGGATTGATGAAGAACAGCTCCAAGAGACTTTAAGCCATAACTTGACCTAGGCCCAGCCCCTTAAACAATATATTCATAGTTACAGCCCCTTACTCTATGAATGTAATGTTCACCTTAAGTTCAGGTTAGGTTACCGATTTCCCGCGTTCTGTTCTTCTTCACTTTCAAATAACCTATTTTGATGGCACGATTGGAATTACCCGAAACACCCGGTAAGGTGAGGAGCACATATACATATTCTCGCAGATATCGCCCCGAAAAAAGGACCAGGATTGATTGACTCGAGGATTGACCAAGACCGAAGCTCCCTAGCTCAAACTAAGATCTTGGCTTCGTAACTCCTTCCTTCGCTCATTGGGTATGCTCTGCCTTTCCTTTATTAGGAAAATAACGAACTCATTCTGATTTGAGCATTAAGTCAATACAAAGTGCTGTTGGTCTTATCGCTTCAACAACCTAAGCCAAGTAGGTCCTATCAAGCTACTACTAACATCTTTTAACAACTATCTGCCTAACCAACTCAACTTCCTTAAGCCAGTCCCTTCCCAGGGATTAGGACGAAGGCTTTTTAACCTTTAGACTTGAAAGCACTCCCAAAGCTCTAACCCTTCGCGCTCCTCATTCCTTCATACCCGGCAAAGTCCGCCTTAGAAGATCCGATCCCAAGCCCCATCCTCCTGTTTTATTCTTCTCGGAAACGAGGAGCCCTAGAGCCTTCTGAACGAAAACCTCCTTTTTCAACAAATACGCTCTTCCATTTAGGCCCTCTTTCTTTGGATTCAACTGAGACGAATTGCTCGTTGACGGCTTAGATCACCACGGCATCTTACCTTGCTCTTGTCTTTCTTGCTACCGCTCTGAAAGCTTGAACTAACTCCGAGATTCGACTTCCTTGCCCAGTCAATCTCTTGGCGTGTAGCTACCTTCCAGCTTTCGGAGGATATGTCATATCTGCTTCCGCTTTCTCACACCACAACTCTAACGTCCGGTCCTGAGTCACTCTTTTTGATCTTCTCATTCACTCTTCGCTTTAGTCTTCGGCCAATCGCAATGATTGACATGACTGGGAGAGTCAAGGTCCCCCCTCCACACTAAAGGAAGGGGCACTTCTTTCGGTCGATTCAATGCTTTTAATCCATGCATGGAAGGTCACTGTATGCCAGAGGAAAGAGATCTCGTCCCTGCCCCGTGGGCAATCCATCAACACTCATTCCCCTCTGGAACAAAGACAGATTCAAAATCTCTAGCTTACTACACCCTTCTCTCTAGAGCCTTTTTCCAAAACTCTTCCGCTCCGTTCCACTCCTGAGTCCTATTTTCTTCTCCAGTAGCAGCTGTCTTTGGGTAGTAGAGTCCTCGTCTGCTTATTCGCTAGCCTCTCTTGCTTTGCGTTGGAGGGGTATAGGCTCAAATCATGTACTGCAGATGGATGCGTCAAGTCTTCATTTCTTGTTCTTGCTGGCTTGGCTTCTTCTTTCTGGCTTAGCTTGCTTCTTCGGACTGGCTTGTAAGGTGAAGGACCTATCGGGTTCTATCTCATGATCTTGGACCCTGGGCAGAGGGATTTCATGCTTCTTTGTCTTCTCTTGATTGGCCCATGAGAGATAGGGTTGAGGACGTTATCAAGGAAGCTGCTCCCAAGGAGGGAGGTGCTGTTGGAGGTGCGCTTTCCTGCTTGTGAATGAGCAAGAAGTGGGCTTTGACTTCTTGAGACGATCTCAAAGCTCTTGCTATGATAGCTGCTACCTTTCTTTAGAAGATGGAAGTGAGTGAAGCGGACAGAAGGAGAAGGTTGTGAAGCTGTAAGGCAGGGGTCAAGCAGGTGGGTTTCGGCGCAAGCAGTCGGCAAGCCGCAAGGCAGCAAGCACCATTATCAAGTCGGTCTCCTAAAGAAAGAGATGCAGCTTTAAAGCTGTGGTCTTTGCTTTTTCAACGTTCTTTGATTCTATAAGCTCTATTGAATTATCCAGGGAAGAAAACTTGTATTATTAGCTAGAACGTCACTATAGAATTGACTTCCATCCCTGACGAAAGGACAATCCGCTTATACTACAAATTTGACTACTTGTACGGTTTGATATCCATACAAGACTAGGGCTGCCTAAGCTAAGCACTGACTGCCTTGACCTTTGATTCCATGGAGATAGAGGTTTCGGGTGGCAGGTGATCAAGAATCAATGAAAGGAGATGCTGGGCGTACCTTCCCTCTGAAGCTCTTATGGGGGGACATCCTTTCTAATACGCCTTTCCCGGACAAGGATTAGCTTCTGATCTTCTTGCCCTTGCCTCTTCTTCTTCTTGGTCTCGCTTCTTCTCTTTCTTCTCCAAGCCAACCATCTGATCAAGCCGGAGTTGAACCAGCCTTTGGAGTTGGGGTTGAACCTGCTTAGCCAGCCGAAGAGCTATAAGAAGCTTTGGACGGAGTGGGACCTGCTTCTTAGGGCAGCGAGTGCTTACGCCTCAGAGGCCAAAGGACACAGACCGACAAGCTAGATCATCAGGGGAGGGAAGAACCACTTTATACTCTTGTTACCGGGGACCAACTTTAGGCTTTAGGCAGAGACAAGAGTTCAGATCCTATGGTATGGAGCTTCTTAGGACAGCAGTGGGGTACTTTGTTGATAGGAAATCAAGAAGTCAAAGTGAACCTCCCATCCTTTCTCCATATGTTGGGGATGTGCTCACAGAACTAATTACTGAATCCGCGGGAGACTCATGGCCAGCTCCTGGAACAAGGTCAGGAAAGAAGGCATCTCCGTCAGCGTCTAATATGTAATTCCCTTACTTCGAAGCACACAGAAGAGGAACTACTAGTC